CCGGTCTTCTGAGAACACTTACTCTTAGTTCCAACCTTGTACAGGGGGAATTACCATCTGTGCTGGCTGCTACACGATTCCTTTGGTCATTCATCAGATGTCTAGTGAGTTTCTGCTGTGTGCTGAGCATGATGCTGGACACCGGGGATTCAGTATTGAACAACAAAGAGAGCGTCTGCCTTTTGGAATGTATGCTCTAATAGTGGAGGCAAGCATTAGTTGTGTAATAAATATATACATGAATATTTATAACAATGGTAATTTTTATGAAGGTGAGATGTATGGTGTTATAGGTGTGAAATAGGGGACTTTGACCTGGTCAGGGAAGGCACTTCTAAAGAAATCTCTGAACTTAAATCTCACTCTATATACCCCTAAATTACAACTCCTTGAGGGCAGGAACTTTTTTGATTTTATTTGTTGTGTATTTCCAGTATCTAGAGAGCACCTGGCAGGTGGTAGTACTCAATAGCTGTTTATTAAATGAAGGAAGGTATGATGGGTCTGAATTCTAAAAGGAAAGTAGGATTTAACCAGGAGATGGGGAGGGAAGAGACTTTAGCCAGAGGAAGTAGCACGTGCAAAGGACCTGTGCAGTTAGGGAGCAGATTACATTTGAGAGACTGCGAGGAGGCTGTGTAAGAACAGAGAATGCGAGAAAGCTAGAGAGGAAGGCTGGGGCTAAGCCTCTGTGCCTTGGTAGTCAGAGGGAAGATTTTGCTTTTTCTCTAAAGAGAAGTTGATTTTAAGCAGCAAGTATCAGGATCTAGTTTTCATTTTGGAAAGGTTTCTCTCCTGCCTTGTGGAGGACAGACGTTCGCAGGGGAATATGACACAAGACTGAATGCTGGTGGGGTACAAAAGATAACACCTAGACTTCTGACTTTTGCCACATGGATGGATGGTTGGGATTCCTTAGGATAGGAATACAGGAAGAGAATTAGGTTTGTGCAGGAAAGATCATAAATTCGGTCTTAAAGATGTTGAGCTTAAAATGCCTTTGAATCATGTAAGTGGCCTTTGAGAGAAGTCTGGGCTGGGGGTACAAATCTGAGAATTATCTGCATAGTGGTTCTGGATGAAGCCATGGGCATGATTGAGATCGCCTAGGAAGAGAGGGGATGGATGAGAAGTGGGCCTAGGAGTTGAAAAACTCCAGTGTTAAATGGTCAGGCAGAAGAGAATGAAACTTGAGGAGCAGCTGAGAAGGAGGAAGAGAGCCAGAGGAGGGCAGGGGAATCCCGGAAGCGAAGGGAAGGGAATGTTTTAGAACAAGGAAGGTTCTATCTAGTGTTAAGGGCATGAGCATTGGAAAATGTCCTTTGGCTTCCATAATTTGGAGGTCATTGGTGGGAAGAGAGAGAAGGTAGCAGCTGGAGGGGAGAGAAGGATCAAGGTAAGTTTTACTTTCAAATCAGTCTTAAGTTTTGTTGATACATTAGGAGTTACCAGTCGAGAGGGAGAAGCTGAACTGACGAGAGGGATGGGCTTCCTGATGGAGAGAACAGCCCGTACTAAGCCTAGAGGCTTAGAAGTGCTTGTTGTGTTGAGGGGGCCGTGAGTTGGCTGGAGCAGAGGGTTGGTCAGAGAGCATGTGGAAAAAGCCGGCCCAGCTACCAAGATGTGGTGTGGATGGAGGCTGTTGCCAGCGTGTGCCGCAGTAGCCTGACACAGAGTCTGGCAAGATTACAAAGCCTAGGCTGAGAGGAGACGGGAGTTGGGGGCTGCTACTGGAGAGGAAAGGGCAGATGAGAGAGAGATTTACTGTCTTCTTGGTTGCTGATTCAGGCTGGGGAGTTGTAGGGAAGAATGGACTGAGAAAAGCACTCATGTCCTTCACTCAGGAGGATATTTAGGTAGCTGGGCACAGAAAGTTGGAGGGGAACAGATAGGGGATGGACGTTTAGGAGGCCATTTTCAGCCTTCACTTGTGAGGGTGAGTGTGGAACTAGGGCAGCAGGAGTTGGAGTTACAGATCCCCTGCAAGCGGCCAGCTGAAGCCTCAGATCTGGGTGGGCTTCCTGAGGGTCCAGAGTATGTTTTGTGAGGTCCCTCATTTTTGCCACTATTAAAACTAAGCTGTCAACATTTTGAGCTTTGAAGCCACAGACCCTTGGTACTGTTTACCTAGATCTGTCTGTGCAAATGAGTAGGCATGATGCTGGTTTTATTCAGGAACAGGTCGTTTTTAATAGTCCCTTGAGAGAGAGAGAGACAGGTTGTATAGCTAAGACTCTGGAGCCAGGCTGCCTGGGTCTGAATTCCAGCTCCTCCATTAAGAGCTGAGTGACCTTGGACAAGTCAGTTTCCTCTCTAATGCCCCAGTTTTCTTGTCTGTAAACTTAAGGTAATAGGAGGACGTAATGCATAGATCCCCTTATTAAATGAGAAATGCGTATACAGCACTTGTCAACAGTGCTTGACACATTTTAAGTGCTCAAAAATTGGTAACAATGACCATAATCATTGTTTGGGGCCTTGGGTGTTGTTCTATTGCTAAAGCACCAGATGGCGACAAAGCACACGTCTTAAGCTTGCCCACATTCTGCTGAAAGGATTCCTTGAATAGGTTGTTTTCTTCAGATCCCGAATTTGTGCAGTATGAAGTATTTTGTTTCTTTTCTTTTTCTTTTTGGATTCTTTCAGACTTCTGGTTGAAACTCATTTGTTTGAGACTCTTATTTAAGTGTTATTCATAAAATTTAAAACAAAAGTTTTTTGGTTGAAGTAGCGCATGCATACAGTAAAATACCAGATAATACAGAACAGCTATTAGTGAAAAGCAACCATCCATCCTGTGGCCCACCTTGTCCTACTCCTGGGAAGCATCCACTTTTAACTGTTTTTATTACCATTTAATTTTGAGTAGCTGAATTTTATATTACCTCAACCAAAGTATTTAGTGCTATAACTAGCTATTAAATGTTATTTCTTAATATAGTAGGAATAGCATGGGTTTTCTTATGTGCCTGCTCTGTGCCAGGCACTGTGGTGGGAATTTTTCAAAGTCTCTGCTCTCAAGTAACTAGTCCCTGGGCGGGGGGAGGTAGTTAGTACACTGTGGTAAGTGCTTTGGGGGAGTGCTCGGGAGGGAAGGCACCTGGCCTGTCCTGGATGAATGTCAGGGAAGGTTCTCTGGAAAAGGTGACATCTGAGCAGAGATGAAGATGGGGCCTGGTTTGGCAGGCAAGAAGAACAAGGGAAAGGTGCTCCTGGCACGGGGTGGGGGGTAGCAGGGTCAGGATCATAAATGGTGAGAACATGTTATGTCTGGGAAGCTGCAGTGGGGTGGAGGGCAAGATTTTGGAGTTGGAGGTGGGGCTGTGGTGAGGAAGCTGGCACAGAGAGTGAGGGTCAGTCATGAGGGCATTTTTTAAAATATATATATATATTTATTTATTTATTTATTTTTGGCTGTGTTGGGTCTTCGCTGCTGCATGCGGGCTTTTCTCTAGTTGCGGCGAGCAGGGGCTGTTCTTCATTGTGGTGCACGGGCTTCTCATTGCAGTGGCTTCTCTTGTTGCAGAGCATGGGCTCTAGGCACGTGGGCTTCAGCAGTTGTGGTGTGCAGGCTCAGTAGTTGTGGCGCCTGGGCTTAGTTGCTCTGCGTCACGTGGGATCTTCCCGAACCAGGGCTCGAACCCGTGTCCCCTGCATTGGCAGGCGGATTCTCAACCACTGTGCCACCAGGAAAGTCCCAGTCATGAGGGCATTTTATGCCAGATCAGAAACTTTGAGTCTTGTTCTGAGAAGGATAAGGAACCACCCAAGGGTTTTAATAGCAGAGTAAGGTGGATACACTTGTCACCAAGACAAAGCTTGTGCTGCTGGCTGCATGACAGGCCAATAATCGAGAGATGAGGTATTGGGGCAAGGAATAAAGACTTTGTTCAGAAAGCCAGCAGACCGAGAAGATGGGCTCATGCCCCAAAGATCCATCTTGCCTGAGTTAGAATTCAGGCTCCTTTTATAGTAAAAGGGGTGGGAATAAAGTCAAACACTTCCCGATTCCCATCAGCCTCCAGAGGGGTTGTGTTAATTTCTTCCTCCCTGCAGTCATTCACGGGTGGGCCTGGTCGGGATGTTTCCTGTGAGCTAAACAAAGATATTTTAGCTTAATGCTCATAACCTGGGAGGTCATTCCCAGAGTTGCATCATCATGTATAATTTAAGCTTATAGTCAGCATCCCTTTAGTGATTAACTTGTAATAGGATACAAAAGGTTCTTCCCTATTACACTTTTGCACCTTGTCAAGATCACTCTTGAAGCAGTATGCGGAATGGATTGCATGACTTGAGACCAGTTAGGAGATGAGTGTAACAGTCTCCATGAGAAATGGCAGGGGCGTGACATAAGGCAAGAAGGGAAGCCAGAGAGTGGGGATCGGATTTGAGAGACTCGATAGGCTTGGAGGGTGAGGGAAAAGTCGAGAATGAGTCCTAGGTTTCTGATTTAGCTAGTAGGTGCATGGTGATGCCCGTACATGAGCCAGAACGTCCAGATGAAGAAATAGAAGGTTTCTAGCTTATGCTAGATGTGTTGAACCTGACTTAGCTTTGGAGACATCGAAGTGGAGACACTGCCATTTATTAGCTTTGTCACCTTCATTACATTACTTACCAACTCCAAGCATCAGTTTCTTATTCTGTTAAATGGGGATGATAGTATCTACCACAGGGTCCTTATGTTCATTAAAAGGAAGAGCATCATAAACACCCCACACAGGTTATGGCCAGAGCAGGTGATCAGTGGAAGTGGTTCCTTTCTAGGTTCAGAAGGACGAGAGTGCCTTCAGGTTTGCTCTTTCTATGCAGTTAGCATTTGGGGATAATACAGTGTTCTGTGGAAAATATCTGCTTGAAAAATGAAATCGCGTGTAGCTCGCATACTTTAAGCCATCATGGATTGCTGAGAATTATATTTGTCATCCAAAAAACACATACAGTTTTCCTAATCACTGTGTATCTCACCACTTATCATTGACTTTCCCCCCATTTAGCAAGCATGCACCTTCATTAAATCAAACCTTGATCCAAGCAACGTGGATTCCCTTTTCTATGCTGCCCAGTCCAGCCAGGCCCTCTCAGGGTGTGAGGTGAGTCCAGCTTCTTACATTTACATTTACTTTAAACTGTAAAGTATATTTTTAAAAAGGGAAAGTCATGTCAGAATATTTTTTTTTTAGCAGTGAGACCCCATTAAGTGTGGGTGGGAATTCCATTCTTGTGATTTTTTTTTTTCTTAAAGAAATAGACTTTTTATTTTTCCCAGGTTTTCATTTTTCATGAATTTTAAATAACTTTTTCCTATAGTTGCCTCTCTTCTGGGAAGTCTTATTTTTTTTCTTTCAGTTTCCCTTTAACATTTAAAAATGTTTAAAGCAAAAGAAGAATACCCCCACGCCGGATTTCTAGAAATCCATTTTTTTGAACACAGGAGAAGAGCCATATCAGTAGACAAGTGGCTTGCCAGAATCTTTTCAAAAGTGTTATGCTGAGGTTTTACAGATACTTAATTCTGGCATCTGAGATGTCGAAGAGGGGTGATCACAGCCCAGGCGGGTGGTGTGACCTCGGCAGTTGCTCTGCCTGCCATCTTTGGCGTGCCTACCACAGGCTGGCAGCACCTGTTCTAAACTCTGTGTCTACCCATCCTTTCTTAGATCTCTGTTTCAAATGAGACCAAAGATCTGCTTCTGGCAGCTGTCAGTGAAGACTCCTCCGTGGCCCAGATCTACCACGCAGTTGCAGCCCTAAGTGGCTTTGGCCTTCCTCTGGCTTCCCAAGAAGTGCTCGGTGCCCTTACCTCTCGCCTCAGCAAGGAGGAGACCGTGCTCGCGTAAGTCAACATCTTGAGCGCTTCTCAGGCTACTATCCTGAGAGGCTTCATCCACTGGTTCCACAGGTATTGTCTGGGCACCTGCTATGTGCCAGGTGCTCTGCTGGCACTGCAGATGTCATATTGTGCTAAGGCAGGTAAGGTCCGTGTCCTCGTGCAGCTCACCAAGACACGGTCTCCCTCAAGCTGCTCCAGCAGAGGCAAATACTGAGTCCGAGCATAAACACACTGCCACAGAGACACGACTGCCTTTGAGGTTAGGGGCTGAAGCAAGGGTAGGGGTGACCGAGGGAGAGTGGGGCCAGAGAGCCATGTGCATCTCTTACTGCAGCTTGGCCATGCCATGGTGAGATGTTGGCATTGGAGGCTCCGCCCTGGAGGAGGGCTCACGGGGTCCCTTGGAGAGGTGGGGGAAGTAGGGCCTCAGAGGGGGGAGTATTCTAGGGATCAGACCCTGCTCCTCTGCAAAAGGCTCAGGCGAAGGAGAAGCACCTTATAGGAAGGAACTATACGTTTAAATGTTGCAACTGACTCAAGGATGTTTACTAAAGTTAGTAGTATACGTAGTTTTTTTTTCCCTTTGACACTGAAACTCCTCATTTAACACAGTATATGTATTTTTCGTTTTCTATGTGTCCCCCATTTAATTGCAACCCTGAGACAGACTGGAGCACCTGGACTCCTATTCATTGTTCAGCAAGATGTTAGTGACACCGGTTCCCTACTGCAGAATAGTTCAGTTGTTTCCCAGGGTTTTTTTTTTTTTTTTTGCTAAGAACCAAAATGTTTCTAAACTTGAAGCTTTGTTAAGGGCAGGGCTCACAGTCAGTTGACGTTCTCCCTGTCACTCTCACGCCCTATTCATATTCACATGGTCAGTAATCAGTGACTTCGGGGCTGGTATGTTTCTCAGGAATGACATTTTCCGCACCCTTTGCCCAATGCTTGGCCCTTGTGGCCCTCCTGTTTCAGGTTACATTACTTTGATCTCGTCCCATAATCCCTTGTGGAATGCCTCTGCAATCACCACCATATCTCCTGTCATGAGATAACTGTCAGTGCCTTACTCTGATGCCACCTTCTACAGAAAAATCTTTCCCTTTCCCTCTGAGCAAAAAGGAAAATCTCCCTCCTCTAAACCCCAGAACAGAAAGAAGTACAAAGAAAGTACATCCATTTTGGAGTCAGTTAGACTTGGGTTTGAACACCAGCTTTGTTTCTTCCTTGCTGTGTGACTTTGGGCAAGTTAGTAACCTCTCTGAGCCTCATCTGTAAAACATTACCAACAATCCTTACATCATAGAACAAATGTCAAGATTAAGTAAGATAATACATGTGATGAGCCTAGTGCAGTGCCTGGTCTTAATGGGCATGGGACAAATGGAGTTTGTGCTCTCTAGAGCATTTCCTTCTTAGGTCCCTTTCTTAGGGAGCTGGTTACTTCCTTGGTTGTATTGTAGTTTTTTTCTGTATTAGATTTTAAGCTTCTTTACTTATAGTGCTCAGAGAGCCTGGCACATGGTAGATGCCCAAGAAAGAGTTAATAAAGGCTGAAACTATACTTTGTGTTTCTATTCTATCCTCTTGCAAAAAGCTTCAGGTAGAAAGACCACACGCTTGGGGTGAGAGAGAACTGTGTCCAGACTCTTCTACTTAATACCTCTGTGGCCATGAGCAGGGTGTTTAACCTCCCTAAACCTCAGTGTTTCCATATGTAAAACAGGGAGAATGATATCTGTCTCATAGGGTTATTGTGAAGATCAAACTGGCAGCATGCCTTATATAATATTACTACTAATTTACCCTATTTAAGCAAATCTGATATAGATTAGGACTCTTCTAAATGGGCCTTCTACATTTAACTGGACTTATTCTAGGAAACGAATGTTCATAAACTTGTCTAGAATGGTAGAAAACATTAGTAGCTTTGAATGAACAATTTGAAAAGATGCTATTGTGGTCTCTCATAACCCAATTTCTTTGAATCATCTGCTGTTTATTAGCAAGACAGGATCTGCTTTCTTAGCATTTGAATATAGTGCTCCAGAGGGAGAGAAATTGCTGGAGTATAAGTAATTAAAGCCAATGACAAAACTTCAAAAGCTAAGTGGATTAATTTCATTCTAAAAACTTCTGAGGTTGTTACCAGCATGACGCTTATTCGTTCCAAAGAAGAGAAAAATGATATCTTAATTGAAAAGTTCTTTCTAGGCTCTCCTAGCAGCCTTTTCTGGGCTCAGCATTTATCACGGGCAGATGTGGGATTTTTATCTTGTTTGGAAATTCAGGTTTCATTTTCTCAAGTCTGTTCTAACAACAAGCATCCCAGAGGGGTCATTGAACACTCTGGGGCTTCCCTCTCGGTGAATTGTGACTCCTCTGTTTTCCAGCTTACCATCTTAATGGAATTCGTTTTCCATGGAGGGAATCTAAATTGTTATGATTGTGATGAAAGCGGACAGATTCTCGCTCTACATTCCCCAACACACTGACTTGATAAATGGTGGTTTTACACAAAGGCCCGGTCATCCCTTGGGAATTTGGGAACCTTTCTGGGGTTGACCAGCAGTTGGCTTAACCACCAGGGGTCCTCAGCTTTCTCTTTTCCACCCCGAGAAGCACCATTTCTATTTTTCAAGTTATCCACATTAAGAGAATAGAACGTAATAAAAAATCTTATGTGGACATACTTACTACATTCCACCTTAAAAAGTTTATCCACTCATAAGTGGATAAAAATATATGAATAGACCATAAAAAAGAATGAGGTACTGATACATGTTACAGAATGGCGAGCCTTGAAAATGTTACGCTAAGTGAAAGAAGCTAGACACAAAGGGTCACATTTGTATGATTCCATTTATATGAAATATCCAGAATAGTTAAATCCATAGAGACAACACAGGTTGCCAGGGGCTGGCGGGGAGGGGACAGGGCAGGGGATGGGAAATGGAATGAAGCTGTTTAATGGGTATGGGGTTTTATTTTGGACTGATGGAAATGCTTTAGGACTAGGTAGAGGTGGTGATTGCACAGCGTTGTGAAATATACTAAATGCCACTGAATTGTTCACTTTCAAATGGCTAACTTTATGTGAATTCACTTCAATACATTAAAAGGTGTATATACACATACAGCCATGAATAAGGGTTAACAGCTACAGCATTGAACAGCTACAGTTCATCTAAGCAGTGCAATACTATGTCGTTGTTAATAAGGATGAAATATATTTATATGTCCTCACGGAAAGATCTGTACAATCTAAATAAATTGCAGGACAGTTATCTTTTAGGGGTAGGCATTACAGGAATTTTAACTTTCTCCTTTAGTAATGTATTTGAAGTTTTGACAAATATATACTTTTATAATCAGGAGTAAATAGTAGGAAAAGAAAAAAAGAATAGACGCTGGTTTGAGAACCAGATCTTCTATTTCTTTCATCTTATTTAATGCCTAAAGGATGGGCGGCTTTCAGGTCTCCGAACAGGATGGTGACAGCACAAGCGTTAGCTGAGTGTTTACCGAATGCTTCCTGTTTATATTGCATTAATCTGGTTTCAGAAAAGTTGCTCCAAATTCTACCCAACAACCTACATTTGTAGATTCCACAGTGCTTCTTTGGTTTTGGAGTAGGAAAAGTAGAAAAGAGGCAGCCAACCTCTGCCCAGCACAGCTCCTCTTACAACATGGGGATGCCAAATATACCTTCATTCGATGAATTGGCTCCTCTTCTCCCTCTAAGTATATCTCTTCTAAATCTGATTAAGTCTTAGTCTGGTGTTCTATATGTGATGCCATTAGAAACCAAACAGATTTTCAGAGGGGGGTGACCTGGTGCACCCTCTCTTCTCTCTGCCCTCAGTACTTATGTGGATCCTGCTGCCCAGATTGCCTTTTCTCTAGCTATAGTGAACTTTGTAATGCAATTGTCTTTTTTTTGTGGGGGTGGGGTGGGCGCTGCATCACGTGGCTTATAAAATGTTAGCTGCCCGACCAGGGATCGAACCTGGGGCCCTGGCAATGAGAGTGCAGAGTCCTAACCACTGGACCACCAGGGAATTCCCTGTAATGTAATGATCTTTGATACATCTTTCCCTAGACTGTAAACAAGCTCCTTTGGGGCCGAGGCTGTCTTATAGTTCTAAAGAACAAGAGCGGGATATTTGTGTAGGTATACCAATACAGGAAGGGGAAATGGAGATTTGCCATTCATTGGGGTTCTATTCTCTACCTTTCAGAACAGTCCAGGCTCTACAGACGGCATCCTACCTGTCCCAGCAGGCTGACCTGAGAAGCATTGTGGAGGAGATTGAGGTACAAATTTATTTTGGCAAGTGAATTTCCCAGCTTCTGTCTTTGAAACCCTTTAGAAGAGTCTTGCAGATAGACATGAATGATTTGTTGTGGCCAGTTACCTTTCTTTTCATATCCATGGCACACTTTTGTTCTTTGTATCAGAGCAATATTTCCTAGGGAATATTTGTTAGGCTCGTATAGTTACACCATCAGTTAGGCAACAAACTACTTCAGTGTTTTGTAGGTACAGTCTCATAGTCTACAGATTTTAGAGCCTAACAAACCTGAACTTCAAATTTTTTTCTACTTCTTACTACTTTGTAATCTCAGGCAAATTATTAATGTCTGAGCCTCAGTTTCCTTACGTGGTGGTGGTTAGGAACAAGCGAAGTTCTAAAGTGCCTAGTACAGAATTGGTGCTCAGCAAGTGGTCACTGTGGTTTTTGTTATTCCACTACCCATTCCACTGCCCACGACCTCCTGCTGCTCAGAGACTGCTTCCATGGACCGCAGAGCCGGGGATGACGGGCACTCTGACAGTGTCATCGCTGGATGCCCCACAGGCACATTAGCTGCCTCGTCACGTTGCCCAGGAGAGCAGTATGTCTCTCTTCATCCTTTAGAGCATTGAATAAGAAAGAGAAATGCTCTGCTCTGGAGGTTGTTTCCAAATGGATGGCCATCGAATCCATCTGTGTCACGATGCTTCCAGGGTGAACTGTGGCTGGGCCCACTGGCCTTCTGCCCAGAGCAGTTGGTGCCTTCAGTGCCATGACTCCTGGGCTTGGGCTTGAGTCGAAGGGGTCAGGGAAGGAGCGCTCCGAGAGCTGCAGAAGATACTGTTCTCTTCAAATGCCTATATGGTATACGTTACTCTCTGCCTAAGCACCTCTTCTGAGAACACACTAAGTGACTGAAGTGGTCTGCAGACTTAGAGTGAGATTTCTCAAAACTGTCTGCACTGGGGTAACAGTGGTTTGTACGTCTCATCTCTGTTATCACTTGACTTCCATTCTGCCTCTGTTTTGTTGTGACAGGACCTTGTTGCTCGCCTGGATGAACTGGGAGGTGTGTATCTTCAGTTTGAAGAGGGACTGGAAACAACGGCATTGTTTTTGGCTGCCACCTACAAGCTCATGGACCACGTGGGCACCGAGCCATCCATTAAGGAGGTGCCTGTCTATATTAACAGTTCTTGGGCGTGAAAACCAAAGGCGTTGTTGGCTTTATCTGCTAAGGGAAGCTTTTTTCAGAGAGGGCAATTCAGTTAGCTTTGGGGTGTCTTGGGTTAGGCATTGAGAATGAGAAACAGAAAAATGTAAAGCCTGTTCCTGAGAAACTGGTTGTCAGTGGGATAGACATGTAAAGAAATTGTTATACTTGCTTTAAATGGGGTACGGACACATCATGAGGTAGAGACAAGAAGGCCAAGTGTATTACTCTCGATCCACCTCCCATTCCTTCCTGATGCTCCTTACTGCTTGTCTTATGAGTGCTTCCCATGCTGGTGGCCTGTGCAAATCCTCTTTCTCTTGAGAAGTGCCCTGTACTTCAAAAATTGCCTGTTCTGCTCTCTCCCCACTGACCCTCAGCAGTGCCTAAGTCTGAGCTAATTGACATAGTTCACTGAGAGGCATGTGTGTCTACCCGACATCCACCAAGAGTTAATTCTTTTCTTTCTTTCAAGAGGAGCTTGTTAACCTGAAAGAACCTTTAGTTGGAATGTGTGTGGGAAGTCTTATGAGTAGGACCCTCTTTGTACCACTTGTTTGTAAGGTTACCAACCCTTGATCTAAAGGACTTAAAATACAAGCTGCTGCTGTTTTAATTTTAGGAGGAAAGATTTGGGTTCCAAGTCAGAACTTCCACTTCTTTTGTGAATTATGAATGCATTGTGAGTTCTGTGCTGAGTTTCAAGTAAACAGTAAATAATTACCTGTCTTGAGTAATTTGAATTAATTTTGTATTTTCTCTGGAGGATATGATCTTATAATTTATTCATGTATTGGCCTTTTTATGTTGTCTTTTCCTTCATCCTAAGTTTAGGAGACCTAGAGATACCACACTGTATTTAAATTTCTGTTATGGGTGAAAGTGCAAGAATGTCGGTCTTATAGTACAGATCATTTCGGGATTCTCCTATACACAGTACAGTACATGAATTGGTGATATTCTACATAAAACAACTTAAACTTTTTCTTGCTTTATTCCCAAGCTGCTACTAACCAGGTATTTGGCTGGGATAATTTTGCTGTCACTGCTTTTGACATAACGATTCTGGTGAACACTCCCCCATTTTAACATGTCAACAGCTTACTGATGGAAAATGTAATTGGTACAATTAAAGAAAATTATTTCATGTCGACTGTGAATAACACTTTCGGGAACAGGGAACTCTTTTGTTAGATGGTAGATTTTAAAAAACGAAACTGATTGAAGTGGAAAATGTTTCCTCTTAAGCAAACAACCTCTAGAATTTTAATAATGCCTTTTAGGTTTTACTTTTTTAAAAAATTGCTTTCAATTTTCCCCTCTAAGCAGCCCATTAGTTCTTAATGGAGAGTTATTTTAGTTTCTTTCTAATGTACACTTTGGCTGTGAAGTTTGGTCTTGTAAACACCAACTTAGCCCCAGCATACTGCTTAGAGGTGGGTTGGCAAGGAAGGGAGCTTGGGTGGGAGGGTGAGGGAAATCAAGAAAGGACATATTTTATTGTGGAAGGACTTTGGAGACAAACAGACCTACATGTGAATTTGGGTCCTGCTTTTTTTCTTTCCATCGTAACTTGTAGGAGTAACTTAACTTCCTTTAGCCTCAGTTTCCTTATTTGGAAAGGATTGATATCAGTCTTTTCAGGATTTTTGTCAAGATTTGAGTTAATGCTTGTAAAGCACCTGTCACAGTGCCTGGCACATATAGGTATGGAACAAATGGGTACTGCTATAGGTGTTTTATAATATAGTTTCATGTCTCAGTAGTTATCTAGAAGCACCTTGCATTTGTATAGTAAGCATCCATAAATGGTTGACAAATAAATGCATTAATTTCAGTTTGTACTAGAAGATGGAAAAAAACAACCAAATTCAAGTTTTACGCTTAAATGCAGAATATGTGCTTCCCCCACCCCTACCAATTTGGGTTACTGGCTAAAAGACCTTCCAAGTGAACGCCTAGAAAAAGATAAGGAATGACTTGAGCCAGGTGGGGAGGGAGGGGTGGCTGTGCCACCTGTCTGACTGCTGCATTTCCCTTTTCTTTCAGGATCAGGTCATCCAGCTAATGAATGCCATCTTCAGCAAGAAGAACTTTGAGTCACTCTCAGAAGCCTTCAGTGTGGCCTCTGCTGCCGCTGCACTCTCCCAGAATCGCTTCCATGTACCTGTTGTGGTTGTGCCTGAGGGCTCTCCTTCCTACACTCAGGAACAGGCTGTCCTACGGGTATGACTTCCATGCCCCACATGCGCTGCTCCGATTGCTGTTTCCAGTGTGAGCCTTCCAGAAATCCAAAGACTGGTACACAGCTGATTGTAACCCCCGTGAGGACAGACCCCTTAAATGAAGAGCAAATGGGGATGGCCACTGGGTGAACTAGTCACAGAATCCTTCAAGCAAAAGTGTGGAGTCCTAACCTCTGGACGGCCAGGGAATTACCGTCAGAGTATTTTAAATAGTATAGCTTTCACTAAACTAAGTGCTAGAAAATTGCATTTCTGGATTTGTAAGTCCAGATGTATAGAGAAGTCTTACTTCTAAAATGTATTCTCCAGTACCCAGACTTTCTAAATACATTATTTTAAGACAGTGTTTTAAATTCCCAGGTAATTCTGGTACTTACAGTTGTTAAAATCAATATCAGGTATCTTCTTCCTTGGAGCCGACAGTGTATCTTTCTGCCTCTTCAGAACATAGCCATCCCTCTCACTCAGCAATAAGCACGGACTGTTTTGGTGTGTTAACTCTCTGAATAGAGCAAAATGCACACGTTTAGAGTTTTCCATTCGTCATAATGAGGCATTTGTTGCTATTGTTTGGAAACCAGGAATAAGCTAAAATCTTTATAAAAAATTAGCATTTTATTTATGTCTAAACACACGGGTTCCACATAGGACAGTTCCATAAGTTCTTCTGCTTCAGAGGACCCTACAGATGCTCTCCTGAAGAAGTGCCCCGTATTCCAAAGTTGCCTCTTCTCTCCCTACCTACAAGTCACATCCCCTCAGCAAAGACTGGGGCGAGAACTAACCTGATTAACATAGTTCACCATGAGTTAGGGGGAGCTAAGAGAGCAAAGTAGAAAAAAATACTGGCTTTTGAAGCTAGGTAGGCTGGGGTTTGAGTCCTTAGCCATGTGGCCTTTGGCAGTCTTGTAACCTCTTTGTGGCCTCAGTTTCTTCATCTGTAAAATAAAGATAGATTATGCTATGTCTCAGACGATCGGTGGGAGGATATATATAAGAGCCTAGCCTGGTATCTGGCAAATAGTCGACTTTCAACAAATGAGTGTTATTACTGTGTTATCCATATTACTTCAGTTTTCCCATTGCCCATACCTTCCTAAAGTATTTTTCTTGCTAATAATTTTTTTTTTAAAGATATTGTAGTAGTGAAGTAGAGTGGGTAGATCAGGGGATCAGAGAGAAGGAAGCATTAACTGTGTGATCCGGAGCCAGTCATTATGTTTCCCTGGGCTCTGGTTTCCTCATCTGAAAAATGAGATCATTGGGTAAGATCATCTTTTAAGATCTTCCCCACCTCTAACATTCTGTAATCTGTCCCATTCCCAAACTAATTGTGTTTTCCTGTATTTGATTTCCCATAGATAGTAGACCAAAGGTCAGTGATGGTTTTCTAAAACAAGATGGTTCTTTCCTGGCAGAGCTTGCTCCCTGTGGATGAAGCACCCACCCTAGAAGCAAAATCTGTACTCCCTCAGCTTTTGTTGCTACAGACAATTTTAAAATTTATTTCCAGTTGCAGGTCACCAATGTTCTGTCCCAGCCTCTGACTCAGGCCACTGTTAAACTAGAACACGCTAAATCCGTTGCCTCCAGAGCCACAGTCCTCCAGAAGACATCGTTCACCCCTGTGGGGTAAGAACTGAGCACATCTCTGTAGGGTGCCAATATACTTGTTTTGGAAAGTTAGCCTGCAGCCAGTATAATCCAGATTTATGTGGTTATTACCAAGATCATAAAACCAAATTTAACTAAATTTAGGATTATGCTTTATTTATAATAATATGTCATGAACATTTCCCCCATAGGATTAATATTCTTCTATAGTCTTATCTTCAGTGGCTCTGTTATTGTTACGTAAATTTTTTTAAAAATTAAGGGTCAATTTTTTTTTTTTTTTTTGCAATACGCGGGCCCCGCACTGCTGCGGCCTCTCCTGTTGCGGAGCACAGGCTCCGGACGCGCAGGCTCAGCGGCCATGGCCCACGGTCCCAGCCGCTCCGCGGCACGTGGGATCCTCCCAGACCGGGGCACAAACCCGCGTCCCCTGCATCGGCAGGCGGACCCCCAACCACTGCACCACCAGGGAAGCCCAGGGTCAGTTTTTATATGAAACTTCGTTAAGTATTAAATTAGTAAGTTAATGAGATTGGGAACTGAGTTTTAGAGAGAAAATGCATTTCTTACACAGTTGTAAAGATACATAGGCAATATGTGAAATTAAAAAGCAAAATCATTTTTTTTAACATCTTTATTGGGGTATAATTGGTTTACAATGGTGTGTTAGTTTCTGCTTTATAACAAAGTGAATCAGTTATACATATACATATGTTCCCATATCTCTTCCCTCTTGCATATCCCTTCCTCCCACCCTCCCTATCCTACCCCTCCAGGCGGTCACAAAGCACCGAGCTGATATCCCTGTGCTATGCGGCTGAAAAGCAAAATCATTTTTACGAATGATCAGTAGAATGGTAAATGACATTGAGGGTTTTGCCATGCAGTTAGAGTTAAGAATTCTCTACCTTTTTTTCCCCTTTAAAATAAAAATTAATATTTTAAAATTAAATTAAAAATAAGATGTGTCCTTTTTAGGCAATTCACAAAGCACAGGAAAGTAGAAATAATGCAGAAAGTTACCTACAATTATACTACCCTACACCAACCTCTTTGAACATTTCTACTTTTTTTTTTTTTTTTTAACGTAATTGGTATCCTACTGTAGATTTAGCTGTTTTGCATTTAATTGTGGAAGACTTACCCGAAGGAGGTGGGATTTTTAGGAGCTGAGAGGGGGAAAAATGAAAAGAAGACTTTCGAGACTTGAAACAGGAGGTCATTTTAGATCGTTTTGAAATTTGCCCCTCATTATAATCTGTAACTGAGCAGGAGGTGGCCCAGGCGGGTGGGAAGTTGAAAAGTGAAGAAGTGGTGCAGCCCTGGACCATCTCAAGGAATGCCTCACTTCGTAGGCCGTTTGTTATATTTGTGACTTTCCTATGTGAGTTCTTGCTAACCCCACTGTCATTCTTAACAGGGATGTTTTTGAGCTAAACTTTGTGAATGTCAAATTTTCCAGTGGCTATTACGACTTCTCTGTCAAAGTTGAAGGTGACAACCGTTATATTGCAAATACTGTAGAGGTAAGTGCTTTTCTTGTTGTCCCCATCTCCATGTTAATATACACAAGTAAATGACCAAACAGGCACATAGCATTAACCATCTGGTATGTTGACTTCACTTATGACCAAGTTAACGTGAATATGTTGAGAGGGATAGGTTTGAACTGTGCTGTTTGACAGACTTAGCCAAGAACTTGATCATAGCAAGTTTTCTTTTATTTGTAAATTGTTCATTTTCCATTATAATTTAGCATTACTATCTTACATAAAATTTAGGAAGTAGAAAAAATTAAAATCACCCATAATTCCACTGAGATATAAATATTCTTGAGATGTTTTCTGTGGTTGGCCTTGATAGATTTATTTATTTTTAATTAAAAAAATTTTTTTTGTTTTATTATTCCCCATGATAGATTTAGAAAAGTGCTTGATGCTAATTAGGGGATCAAAAGCATCAAGTGACCTGTAGCACCATAGTGAGTCTGTCTGGGTAAAGTACAAAAGAAAATTGGTAATCCTTCATAATGAACTATGTTTCAGATGTTTAGCTGACTCTAGTTTTGTTGAAGATCCACGTGGTTTTTTAAAATTTATTTATTTTATTTATTTATTTTTGGCTGTGTTGGGTCTTCGCTGCTGTGTGTGGGCTTTCTCTAGTTTCGGTGAGCGAGGGCTACTCTTCGTTGCAGTGTGCGGGCTTCTCATTGCAGTAGCTTCTCTCGTTGCAGAGCACGGGCTCTAAGCACGTGGGCTTCAGTAGTTGCGGCACGTGGGCTCAGTAGTTTTGACTTACGGGCTCTAGAGCACAGACTCAGTAGTTGTGGCGCACGGGCTTAGTTGCTCCACGGCATGTGGGATCTTCCCGGACCAGGGCTCGAAACCGTGTCCCCTGCATTGGCAGGCAGATTCTCAACCACTGCGCCACCAGGGAAGCCCCAATCCATGTGGCTTTAAGGATGGAAAGCTATGCCTCACTTGCCTGATGCTTTGTGGGAATGTGGTATTTCACATTAGTGGCTTTCCTAGCTAATTGAAGTTTGCCCCTTCAGGCACTGTAGCTTTCATTTTAACCTTTTTGGGTAGAAGTTTATTTAAGATGAATTACATATTTTCCTACTTTTTAAACTATGGGATATGGTTTTAACCTCTTCTTATTCTGGCTTAGGATCATAAGTATGAACCCTTCATTGAAAGCCTGTGACATGAACAGTACAGTTCTATGTGCTTTTGCTTATTTTATTCTTATAACAATCCTAGCAGATGCGTGGAGTCCTCTTCATTTCACAGACGATACCCAGAGGGGTAGAGTAACTTGTCCAAAACCTCCAGCTTGTCTGTGCTTGGGTGGATCCCCTGCACAATACTGGTTTAGTCACTGTGCCCTAGTGAATATTGAGCTAGCTTAGAGGCTGCAGAGCTGTGTGCAGCTCCAGCTGCTGGCCTATTTATAATATTACTTTGTCCTTACTGCTGTCATTTCTCAATGTTTCTGCCACTGTGTCCTTGTTGCACCTACCTGACCACATTGTCATGCATTCTGTTGGGTCAGGGGAACTTGAAGTAGTATAGTGCCTTTCCCGAATAATTAAATATATGCTGTTTGTGACAGCTGTTTTCTTCACTATTCAAATGTCATTTTCCACTCACTTTTCTTTTTTAATGAAACTTTTTCATTTTGAAACAATTTCAATCTTAAGTTTTAAAAATAATATGAAGAATTCCTGTATACCCTTTACCCAGCTTCCCCAAATGTTAACATCTTATGTAACTGTAATATTATTGTCAATACAAGGAAATTAATAATGATACAATACTATTAATCTATATAGTCTTCATTCAAATTCCACTAGGTATCTTACTGATGTCCCTTTTCTGGTCCCAGATTCAACCTGGGATCACATATTCCTTTAGTTGTCATGCCCTTTTACTCTCCTCCAATTTAGGGTAGTTTGTCTTTTGTGACCTTGACACTTTTGAAGAGTACTGGCCAGTTACTTTGTCGAATGTCCCTCACTTTGGGTTTGTCTGATGTTTCCTCATAATTAAATTCAGGTCATGCATTTTTGGCGAGAATACACCAAAAGTGATGCTCCTTCTCAGTGTATCTTATTAGGCAGTATATGCTGTTGATATGTCTCATTGCTGGTGATGGTAACCTTGATCACTTGGTTAAGGTGGTGTCTGCTAGGTTTCTCCATTGTAAAGTTGCGGTTTTTCTGCTTTATAATTAAGTGTCTGGTGGAGTGATATTTTGAGACTCTGCAAATATCCTGATGATCTTGCCTGTAAGAGTTATTAATGTGGTGTTTGCCAAGAGGTGATTTTCTATTTCATTCTTTCTACATTTATTAATTGGAATTCTACTGTAAGAAAAAGCTGTCCCCCTTCCCCTGCATTTAGTTATTCAGTTACGAATAATACTTTGGATTCATGGATACTTATTTTACTCTGTAGGTTATAATCCATTACTGTCATCATTTATTTTTTTTTAATCATATTATCCCAAATTTGGCCTTTGGAGAGCTCCTCAGGTTGGCCCCTATGTCACTTTCTTTTACTGAAAGGACAAGGCAGCTAGAAAGTTTGACCTTTTCAAAAGTGGGGCATTACTTAACATAGTTAGATTAAACATTTATATTAAAAGTTTGGCAGAAAGGATATTTTCTGGAACTCTAGTCTCTCTGCCTTTTCTCTACCTCATGTCTGACCTTTTTGGGCAGGAGACATCTGATCCTACTCCATTCACTAACACAAGATTTGGATAGAAATTATTGTAGTGTGTACCTTGAACCTTGAAAATCCAGATTCTTTCAATTTTAGTTTCCTGCATTAAGGGGCCTTATTTGCAACTGAGCACATTGAAAGGCAAATTTTTTTTTTTTTTTTTTGACCTGAAACCTCCTTCCTTCTACCTATACAATCTTGATAACAACATATCCAATATAAGTACCATACCCATACATCACAGCCGTTCTTAACCCTTCCTTTCTTTCCACTTCTGACTTCTGGTCAGTCGCCATGTCGATTCCACCTTTAAGTGTCTTTTGCATGATTCCTTTGTTCTTCAGCCCCAGTTTTCCTACTTGGGTAGATCCCAAGTAGGTAGATATGTAGTTTCCAGCCAGTTTCACTGTCTTCAGTCTCTGCCCCTTCCATTTAATAAGCACCGTAAACACCACTAGAATTATAAAATCACAGTGTTCCCCTAGTTAAACATTTCTTTGGTTCTCTATTGCCTGTGAATAAGGTCTAGACTCCTCATTGTGGCTTTAGAAGGTCCTCCACAGAGCACATGCCCATCCTTCATTGTGGCTGCATCCCCATCCCCTCAGCTCTAGCTGCTCTTGACCACATACTCATCCTCATATACATTTTACGTGCCCAGTACACGTAAAGCCTTTGGACTTCTCTTGTTTCTTCCATGGGGAATGTTCTTCCCCTCCCTTGCTGAATTACTCATTCTGTAAGTTCTAGTTCAAATATTGCTCCTTCATCTGTGCTCCCATAGGATTTTAATTTTATTTTGGACTATTTAAAAGATACAGAAAAGAACAAAGAATAATATAATGATTGTCATATACCTACTGGCCACTCATCTCCCTCAAGCCCTAACGTTTTGCTATGTTTTTCTCCTTTGTTTTATTTTGGTAAGAAATAAAGCCCTATAGATTGAATTTAAGCTCTCTGTGTATTCCTCACTTTTTCTTCCTCTTTCCCCAGATTTGAGGTGTATGTTCCAATGCCAGTTTTTATATTTCTGCTACATATGTATTTTTAAGCAATTTATTGCATTGATTTCCATCTTACCAAAATTTATATGCGTCATTATACTATATGTATCCTCTCGCAATTTGCTTGTTTTCACTCAATATTAAAGACAACTAGCCATATTTATGCATGTAGAACTAGAGCTATATAGATAAATATGAATAATTTTCATAAAATTGTCTTCCTTTTATGAATGCATCAGATTTATTAATTCATTTTCTGTTGGACATTTAGACTTTCACCGTTATAGACAATGCTGCTGTGGATATCCTAGTACGTTTGCTTATGCACATTTTGTTTATCTAGAATGAAGTTGTGGGATCGTAGGGTACGTTCATCTTCCAGCTTTATTAGGTTTTGCCAAATTGCTCTTTTCTTCATATTTGTACCAGTATTTGCTATTATGAGTTTGGATAATCTGATGGATAGGAAATGGTTATCTTGTTGTTTCAATGTTTTTCTTTGGTTTCTAGTGAGACTGAGCATCTTTTCTTGTGTCTATGGGCCATTTAGGTTTCTTCTTCTGTGAATTGTCGTGTATCTTTTGTCTTTTTCTTTTGGTTTGTTAGTCTTTTAATTATTGATTTTTAGGAGCTACATATATTCTGGAGCTATATATATTAGTAAATCCCTAGTTATAAGCATCAGATATTGTCCCTCAGTGTTGCTTTATGGCATCTTTCAATGCACTGAAGTTCATTTCAATGAAGCCTAATTTAAAAGTCTTTTTTTCCCTAGATTGTACTTTTTGTGTCTTTAAAAAATTCTACGCTGCTCCAAGATCAAAAAGATAGTCTCTAATATTGTCTTCTAACAGTTTTAAAGTTTTTTTCCCCATATATTTAGGGCTTGTCTACTTGGTTTATTTTTGTTGCTGTAGTAGTTTACACCCTGTCCATAATTGTTCTTACTGCATTGTATTACTATTGTTTGCTTATAAGTGTTGCTCTTTCACTGGGCTGGGTGCTCCCTATGGGCAGAGACCAAATCTTATATTTTCAGTGCTTAGCTTCCATCTCAGACCACTTAAAAGAAGAAAAGGATGGAGTGGTCTAAACATTAAAGATGTTAACCCACATTCCAAGGCCCTTAGAACTATGGTAATTCATCTTCTAGGGGTGAGCCTTTTACCCTACACAAAGTAGCTTCCTTTTTTCTTTCAAATAACAGCTTTACTGAGGATATATGTAATTCACATACCATAAAATTACCCAGCAACAGTATGTAATTCAACATATTTAGTATATTTAGAT